AATGTCTAATTTTATAATAACAATGCATGAAGAAATCGACATATCTCAAATAATTACTGACACATATGGCCGCAAATGTACAATTATTAAAACTATTTACCAATTAATTTTGAATGCCAGTTATAATGGCACCCACTAGTGAACAATACTTATAATTGGTACGATCGTCACGTCACGTTGATTATCAGGAGATTTGTAATTATATCCGTTTTTTACAATTTCCTTATTTTTCTTGGCGTTTATTTTTGTATCGTATTGACGCAAGTGTTGGGGCGTACACCGGACGTTCGTCTGTCTATATACGGTACGCGGTTCGTCTCTGAAGAGGATACAAGTTAGTGATTTCCCATCGATCAATCTGTCTGTGCCTGTCAACGCATGTCGTAAACTCAAGAGGATGCATGCCCTGTACCTGGTCTGTGTTAGTATGGTGTTGACGGTGTCTATCAATATGCAATATGTAGAGTCCACCCTACAAAAAGAACATATTTTTTCCCATGCCAAAGCGGCTGCAGGTAAGACTCTTTACATCATTTTTTTATTTTGGTCATGATATTGAATTATAACGAATTTCTAGAAAAATGTCCATGAACACAATACCTAGAATAAGCTGGTAACCAAATTAAATGCAAAGACGAAAAACGGTTCCAGTTTTGGAAATCAATCCCCCATTTCAAGTTCAAGTCTACCAAATGTATAATGAAAATAACACTTTACGTAACTGCATTCAGTTGTAGGAGGCGACAATACTCAATATAGAGTTTCTCTGAGTAGTTTGAAGGCATTGATGTTAGGTGAGATTATGCATATTCATATCTACTTTTAATATTTCATATTATAAACAAAATAAACTCGTTTTTACACCTATGCTTTTATTTGTTTTGAGAACTCATTTTATTACACATTCCGAAATGTGGATGAGCCCTAATTTCCAAGAGTTGTGAACGTCTTCATCGTCAGAAAAAAACGTATACAAAAGTAAACCGCGATTACCACGTCAGCACGTTATTTCCATAGTTCAACCATGTTTTTCATAACGATTGCCAATGCGCATTCTTCGGTTCACCTGGTGTTTTCGTCATCGATGTTTTCAAAGATTTCTGTGTTCTATCAGGGGTAAAATCTTCTCCACGGGGTCTCCACACTGTCGGGGGGAATCTCGTCTCGTCTCTCTATCTCGTCCCCTTGAGGTACGGGATCGGGGAAGTCACTTTAACTTTACAGTCAAATAAGACACACACAACGAAATACGTTTCAGCTCTCGTCTTAGTCGATCAATCGAGCACTCTACCAGACACAGCGCCCTGGGGAAAAGTCCCCAAGACTCTCACAAGGCTGAACCAAGACTCGCCCAAGACTGGACTGCCTCAAGGCTCGCCCCTAGACTGCACTCTCGACTGCGTCTGTCGTGGAGTATTCGCCAAGACCAACTCAAACTCTCTTCATTCATTTTCAAAACTCTAACCAATTACAAAGCAGTAAAAAGACTCTAGGGCGTAACCTTCAATCATAAAGCCAATCACACTAAGTACTGAATACGTCATATCTTTTGATTAATCGTTCACTACATTAATAACTACGGATACCAACTGTCAGAATGAGTAGTCTAAAAAGCGGCGGCTATCTGGTAATTAGTTCCAAATCACTGAGCCAAGTTCCGTCCAAAATTTCAAATAGGCCTACACGATGACAGACATAACACAGCAATTCGCTCGTAATCAACTATTTAAGTCGGTCAACAGATACGCAAAAACAAATTCATGACAGTTCACCTTACTTCACTCGTGAACATGGTGTTATATATAAACCGTACATGTTTTTTTCACATACAGCGCTCGCAAGAGATAACGGATGGCAATGGAAAATTAAATTAGTTTGGTTCATAATTAAAAAAAAATATCTACTCGTATGCAATATTTTGCATCAAACACTTTTGAGAAAAAAAAAATATGGTGTCTTTAAATAATATTACTAATAATGTTAATAATACTACTAATTACATGTTATTTTACAGAAAGCGACATGAAGGAATATTTCACAGACGATGACTTTCATATCTGAGAAACAGAAGACTTTGTTATATCAAATTCTTTTAGCTTCCGGGGGCCATAACAAACTCTTCCTAATGGTCGCGTCCTCCAGTGAAGTCTCCGTCCGCAATTGTGACGTCAAAATAACGTACATGTGTGTAAGCAAATGTTGGTTGTTTTATTTAATAATTCGTTATTTATAATAAAGTGAAATCGCTCTAAAACATTATCTTCATTGAAGGACGACTAAAAGATCAAAACGATATCGACGATTTGACCTTCGCGTCACCCTTTCCGTCACAGAAGCACTTGTCACTAGAGGGCGTGGCGATTAGAATACGCGCATTGTTGATGCATCTATGGAAGTCTAACGACTGCTACTTAATTTGAATTAACATATAATGTATGCGACACGACTATTTAAAATTCACTATGTCTGTTTTTATTTTATCAATAAACAAATTTAAAGCATACAATACCTAAGAGTATTTTTTGTTTTGTTTTATCAACCACATTTGTAGACCAATTGTTGTAATGTTGCGTGACAAGGTGTAAATAGTGGACGTCGCAATGCATGCAGGATACGCATGTCTCAGGTGATATGTTGCAGGGAATAGTTGGTCACTTTTGTCCAGAGTATTAAAGGGTGGTTGTCGTCGCGCCGCGACGTGTTCGATATGGGACTCGTAGCGACGTATACAACGCGTGTAAAATGCATTGTTCGTTTACATGAAATTCGAGCACGCGCTGCACGACGACCACCGCCCTTTAAACAATTTAAAATAGTTGGGCATTAGAGCAATGGTCCGTCTTCGGTAACTTATTCTTTTGTGGAATGGAAAGTGGTATGGTTACGTTACCGACGCGAGTGTACTTAAATACTGGTAAAAATATACAACTTTTAATTTTTTACACATAAATAAGTTGGCAAATTTGAAAGTATATATTGTTATGGTAATCTTAACGATAATTGCGGCCGAGTGGATGTAATCGATGACCGGGAGTTGCGAAACCGACAATGTACATTTTCGAAATAAATAACAAGCTCTACTTTACGTCGGCATCAGCGAATGCGTCAGTTGGCCATAGCCTGTCATTGTTTAAAAACAAGCGTCTACCCATGAGCCTTTGCATTTTTAGAGTGCCGTTATCGTCGCTTGGGACTCAATTCCCGCACGTGCGCAGGGGACGACCCTCCCCCTTTAAGTTATGCTTGGGCTGTACACTATTTGCCCAAATACTTTTCTAACTTCAGTTGTACACCATAACCTACTATTACAAACTATGTAGTAAAACTCAGATTGACAAAAGGTGTGTACCATATTCAAGTGCAGGACGTGTTCACCTTTCTCAAAACACTTGACACTACTTATTGGCAGTATACTAGTATTTTTCTTGCCTAATCATGCATAGATAAGTTGCTGTACTACAATTTTTAGCTACGCTGTCCTCGAAAACGACAGGTCGAGCTGTTGGTCAGGTGATTGTCCGTCGACGACAGTGTCCCACTATAAATGCATATTTTGATGAAGGTCACGAGAAGGAATCTCTGCCATGCACAAGACACATACTGTTCTGTATCTGTCCTCAAAATTGACCATATTTATACCCAAGTACAAAATCTACAACCATACTTATACCAAAAATCATTTTTGATATGCAATACAGTTTGATGTTCTATATATACATTATATAAAATAACCGGGCAGCACGATGTGCAAATTAACTACTGGGGATATGTCATTGAAACCAGACGACCAGACATGGATATTTCTTACATGCACAGATTCTACTTTCCTCACGAGACACATTCATTCTCTGATACTTTTATAAGTTGTGACAATGAATTTCCATGCCAACAAAAGGGCAGAAGCATGTCACTGATGAAACTATGAATATTAAATAATGCAGTTATAAAATTGTTAGCAATATATACAGTTTTTCAAGAACATCATTTTCTGGCTATGATATACAATAAAATACACAAGGTCAGAATAGTTTTATTTTGTTTGAGCTATATGTTTATTCATATTATTTCCATTTTATTTAAGTAAAATAAAATTGTTGTTTATTCACATAGTAATTAGGCCCAGGGGGAATGTGTTCCTCAACCCCCAAAGAAAAACAATAAAACAGTTTAAGATTTAAAAAAACTCTTGGCTTTGAAAGTATTCTAGTCGAAACTGTTGAACACAAAGACACGGTTTTATTGGAATCAAGTTTGATTAGATATATATACACACACACACGCACGCACGCACGCACGCACGCACGCACGCACGCACGCACGCACGCACGCACGCACGCACGAGTTTGAGCTTGAGCTTGATATTTTTTTGCAGCATGACAAATATTGTTTGAGAAAATAATTTAATTTATTTTGTAACGCCTTGTGTCATGTTATATTCAATGTGAATTATACCACGTAAAAACATTAACACAATATTGGAATATAATTTTAATTATTACTGTTTTAGACAGTGTTGACTTTGTGGTCATTAAGATTCATTCTTAAAGGTCATATACACTTGATGCATGCTACAAGGTTCTACTGAGAAACTCTATATTACTGTGAAATTGAATATACAACTCTTTGGACACGTGTGTGAAAACAAACAGATGTTGTAAAGTTAATTTAGAATTTGCTGAATCACTACCATAATGAACACAATAGCTGATTTCCCATTCACTACAAGATCTCGCGTAATGTGAGCAAGGCACAAACTGAAGGGCCGTCGCAAAAATCAAATGACTCTACCTTGAACTCGATTTTTTTTTATAGTTCAATGTCAAAACGCTAATCTATGGTGTTGAGATATCCTTACTTCATCAAAATTGATCATCATCAAACGCATATCACACATTAAGTGTGTAAAAATATATCCCTAAAATACTTTCACATTTGTTGAATCCCATGGGAAGTTTTGTCGCCACTATGACCTTTGTGTGTCCTGTTTTTACATTTTATATCACACAGGGTCTTACAGTGAGCAAAAAATGGCCTATTGGCAGCAGTAAAATTCAATTCAGCTTTTTATAATACTGGATGCTGTATGTACACTAATGGTCCTGTGGGGTGGTTTATTCAAGTTCCTCCATTCTTGGTGATTGCGATGATGAGCTGCCCCTTGATTGATCTTCTCCGGGCGAGGGTGGAATTAAAACGGACTGATTGCCTATAAATAACAAATCAACCAATAATAAACAATCAGTTATTTCAAATGTACAAAGGTTGTATGTAGGGGGTGGGGCTGTTGTCTACCTATTAGTGTTCAAAGGATCAATGGGTAGGGACAGGGCTGTTTTTGTCCATTCAATAACTAAACCAATGTATGGGTGGGGTGGGGAGGGGAGGGGGTCTGTAGTGTAGATATTATAATTTGGCTTCCAATTTGTATTTCATTTGCATTTTGACATACATAAAATCATTCAAACATTCATCTCTGTTCCAAATTGCTGCACGACTTAGTAACTATCAACAAATATCCAAGTATTTTAAGTATTTCTCACATATTTGTTCTGTCAGATAATATTCAAGGGAATAGAGCTTTAGTGTAGAATAAACATCTAAAACTTAGCTTTGTTACTTGGAGACAGGGTAATCAATAGACTTATCAATATACTTCAACAATGCAACAAACATACCTAAGCCAAATATGTCAAACTCAGCTTTCTCATCTCCTAAGTTTGCTGCTCCATCATCATCATCACTATGAAGTTTCAAAGTCAATGGAGACATTGGTATGGAACCTTCTTTCTGTGTAAGAGGAGGTGGGGTAGTTCTTGCTGCTTCACCATTTGTTATTTTTGGAGAGGGAGTTACACTACCACTCTGAGAGCTTTTAGAATCTTGTTCCACCAATCTTGCTGGTGGTGATCTCTGAGTTGGTGTCTGTCTGGGAGACTGTTGTGCGCTGGTTGGTGGGGTTATAATCACTTCTGTGTCTATGCCTCTGCCTTTTTCATCTGACATATGAGCAGACATTAAAGTAACATGAGCTTTCTGCAATTTGGGAGTCTTCATTGGTGACGATACCAGTGAAATGTCCACAAGAGTAATTTGTTCTTCTGAAATGCCATCTTCAGGAGGATCTGTACTATGTAGTGGAAGATCATCACCAGAAACATCTAAATCCGAGTCGTCTAAGTCTAATGAAAACACATTTGATGCATTTTCTGACTTTGGTTTAGGAGATTGTGTGAGATAAGCAGAGCTAATTGCTGGTGTTGATGTATCACTTGACACAGATTGTAACTTAATTTCCACCAAGCGATCACCTAGACCTACATCCCTAATGTTCAATGGATCGGATGGGCTACCACTTGTGACAGAAGAAGCTTTTAATCTCTTGAATCTTTCTATTATATCACTACTGATGTGACTGTCCTGCCCATTCTGACGACTAATAGAGGCATCTTCAACTTGGGATGCATCATTCAAAGGTTCAAACCTTGGCTCTTCATCCGATTCTGAGAATGCTACACTCATCATGGACTCGTCACAGGTTTGCCTCCAATGTGTTGTTTCCTGTTGTCCATTCAGCGTTAGTACGCTCTTCTCACTTGAGTGTTCCATTCCTTTGTGGGAAATAGCTTCTCCATTTATTTGGTTATCATGAGACATTATTGAACTCTGCTTTACAAACTCTTCCTCTTCTTTCGGCTCATCTATATTACCCTCATCCTCATCCAAAAAAGTCAGAAGATTGGTTGGCATAGTAATGCCAGATAAATCTTCCACTTGTTTCTCATCATCTTTATCCTCTAAGGTATCGGGTGCGCTTGGGATGATTCTTTGCATGGATCTTGTTGGTAACTGTGGAGTTTCACCCAGAAACATGTCGTCAGTCTCAATCTCCTGCAAACCTTCAATGCTATCTTGCACATTGTCAAAAGCAGCCATCTTATCATTCTCTTCCACAGTTTCCCCACTAGTGAAATCCATCAAGTCTATGCTCATTTTATCACTATCGTCACCATGTGATTCATTTATATTCATTTTAGGAGCACCAAGAACAGCATTACCATTTTCGTGGCTAACGTCACAAGTATCAATTCTGTGTGTTTCATCAACAGGTCTTGCTTCCAGACTATAGAAAGCATCTTTTGTTCCATCTTTTTTTTCTTCTCGTAGGTTTTCTTCTTCTGCCTCTCCTTGCTGTTTTTCCTCCTTTTCCCCCTCCTCCTCCTCCTCCTCTTCACTGTGCTCAGTAAACAAGTGTTTTCCATGACAGGCTACAGACTCTGGTTCCAAAACAAATGCTCTTGATAAATCATTTGTCTTTGCATCTGGAGTTCTATTAAGTTTACTTCTGCTTACAAATGCATCCAAACCTGCAAAACAAAATGGCCAATATAAATACACATATGGCTAGCAGACAGGGGGATTGTGAGTTGAATCTCTTAGAGACACAAATGTTAAAGTCAACATCAACTCAAGAACTTTGGACACAACCTTTTCACTACCAATAATTTTAGCACATTCGAAGTAATTTCCTCTGTTTTCTTAGAAGTAGAAGTGTAAAATGATACAGGTGACAGTGTTTTGTCCTTGAAATACATCAATTGAAGTTAAATAATAAAAGTGAATTCTATTGAATTTAATGCATTTTATTTAATTATTAGTTTAGCAAAGGTACAGTGTCAGTTTTAGGTCAATAGATAGAAGTTGATAAGGGTGAATTCACACTTCAACTTACCAAGAGATTTAAGGGGATCCACAACAGCAAGTGGAGGAGTTTTTTCATCATCTGGGGTGTTTCCAACAAGGGCATCAGCAATCTGAGTAAGAAAACAGCAATGCTTTAAAGGACCTACATTTATATAGTATTTCTATAAAATAAATTTCGCTTGTTCAGGATCCCTTAAATAAACTTTAGTATCAACAATTTGTTTTTAATATTTCAGTATAATTAAGGTGGAGAGGCAGGTTCGTGGAATTGTTTTTTTTGCTTTTTATTATCCAAACAGACTTGGCTATAGACTGATAACATTTTGTAGAATTGTGAATAGTGTAACATACTCAAAAAACGATTTTAAAGTATAGATAACAGGTGCAAACATTCTCTCTTTTGAATGCTTAGCAAAATTTAGCAAGGCTGTACATAAATAATAAAAAAGAAACATGGTGAAAAAAAGAAATGATGGGATCTCCATATTATGCACTATGTTTAACTTTTAACAAAACGATAATACATTTAAATTTGGAACTGTTACAGCCATTTTAATTATGAGCATTAGCAAACTTCTTACTGAGTGAATTGTTATGCAAATTAGCAATTATCTCGGCTTCTCTTTAGTGCAATCCCGGAACTTTAAATCAAAGAAAGATTAGAAAGAACTCCCGTGTGAAGAGACATTAAAAATTAATTCAAAATTACTTGTACATGAGATATTGATGGACAAGTCATTGTCAATGACACGTCCCCGTTCCGTTCATATTTGAGTGACATATACATTCAAAGCAGATCATGACCGAAATGCACCTGCATATGTACAACACATTGTACTAAATCTGAACAAAATCTATCCATGCATGACTGAGATCCGGTTCCGGAATTGTGAAAATACGTGATTTTGATGCATTTTCGGCCTTAAAATGGCCATCATTCAGCTATTGTTAAGCGGATCATGAAACAAATGCACATATATTTGTGACATATGTACCTGTGTGTGTGAAGTTTGAACTTGATCAATCCAGACATGTCCTGGATACGGATCCAGAACTGAATTCTTTTAAAACAAAATGGCCGCCAGTCGGCCATTTCGAACTTGATCCGAAAAAAAAAATGACGTGCATCAAGGTCCTATTATGTTTAATGTATGTACCAAATTTGAATGAAATCCGTCCATGCATAACTGAGATCTGGGTCCGGAATGGTGAAAATGTGCGATTTCAATGCATTTTCGGCCTTAAAGCGGCCGCCATTTGGCTATCGTTAATGGGATCATGAAACAAATGCACATACATATTTGTGACATGATGTACCTTGTGTGTGTGAAGTTTGAACTTGATCAATCCAGACATGTCTCTGATACGGATCCAGAACTGAATTCTTTAAAACAAAATGGCCGCCAGTCGGCCATTTCGAACTTGATCCGAAAAAAAAAATGACGTGCATCAAGGTCCTATTATGTTTAATGTATGTACCAAATTTGAACGAAATCCGTCCATGCATAACTGAGATCCGGGTCCGGAATGGTGAAAATGTGCCATTTTGATGCATTTTCGGCCTTAAAATGGCCGCTATTCGGCTATCGTTAATCAGATCATGAAAAAAATGCATGTGCATATGTCCCATATAGTGTGTGATGTATGAGCGAAGTTTGAACATAATCGGTCCATGCATGTTCGAGATACAGGTGATCACGGACGCACGGACGCACGGACGCACGGACGAACGCACACAGGGCAAAACATAAGTCCCCGTTTTCGGACTCCGTCCGAACGGGGACTAAAAATATTCGGAAAATTGAAGACTTTCAGAAAAAAAAACCTTGTGCAGTTAACTAGAACTAGTTTTAAGAGCAACAAGAGTAGGAGGTTTTCTAAGTGGTCTTGTTGCAACTATCAAAAGCTGCCATCTGTATGTAAATAATGATTTTGAGACAGCATGGAACTGCAGTGCTGCAAGATATGTAGCTATCAAATTTGCTACCTAAATTGCACAACAGCTAACTGACACCCAAGCAATGAAAATACAGAGGTGTGGCCAACAACTTAAGGGATGACATTTATTTGTAGGAGTTTACCCTACCCTCACCTTGGGCTCACTAAAAATATCACTTTAAAATTTATATTTATCAAATAAAAGTAAGAAAAAATGTACAGAAATTCCATCTAAGTCAACAGTTACTATCGGCAATTACTTTGGTAATAAGTCTTAGATACATTTCAAATCCGATCTGAAAAATACAATTACATGCATCAAGGTCCCATAATGTCCAATAAATGCACCAAGTTTGAACAAAATCCATCATAAATACTTGATTTTGATGATTTTTCACCACAAAAATGGTCGCCATTCAGAATCAGATTTTAAAAGAAATTAATGTGCATATGTATAATGTAATGTATGATGTATGTGTGAAATTTGATTGTGATTGGTCCAGGCATTTTTAAGATACAGGTTCGCACACATGGATACATGGAGGTCAAAATATAAGTCCCCATTTTCGGACTGCGTCCGAACGGGGACTAATAAAACAGGTGAAATCTTGTGAAAATCAAAACACCAGTCTCAGAGAAAAATTTACATCGACTTCTACACTGCCATTTTGAAACACAGACCCGAGCATAGACTGTTCCCAAACTGGTACACGTGTACTACGTCATCCAAAACTGATGTTCCCAGTGCCTGTGCCTTGTTGTGATAGTGGACTTGTTCCATTCCCACAAGGAGCACAGGTTTAGGAAAGCCACAACCTATATGCTAACTACAACTTGGCATACAAGTCCTTTTCATTTTAAATAAACACAGTATTATTTGAATTACTGTAGAATACTTTATTTTTGCTTGGAATTAATTGTCACTATTTTTGCTAAAGGAATGATTAAGTGAAAATAAAATCCAGGGAAAATACCGTTGTTCCTTTAGTTTACTTTCAACTCAACAAATATCAGTGAAAATTAACTCCATACAAAACACCCAAATGTCTTTTCAGCGAAAATTAGTTCCCACTAAAATAATGTATTTTACAGTACTACAGTGATTGCATACATTAATATGTCACAATATGCATTTATTATGTTAATTTATGCATGTTCTCACTCCCCCCTCTCAGATAATGATGTGATCCAAATCACAGCACACAAACCCAAACTGTTGATTCCAAGTGTACAAAGCGTATGTGCCAAAGTTTTTGCTAATCACTTAGCTAGTTTGCTAATTAGGTGGCAAATTTGATAGCCATCTTGCAAAACTGTAGGTCCATACACATGTGTCCCACCAGTAAGACCCACAGGTGTTTGTGTTTGACCAGGCAGGAAACAGAGACAGTTTATACAGTTTTGATAGAAGTAAGCTCATAGCAGCTGCTACCATGCTGCCACGATGTGTGTGTAGCTAGGAGATATATGTATGCAGTACATGCACATGTTTACTTTGATATAATAGTGTTTACATTGACTGCCATTATGATAGGAAGACAGTCAGACATCCCCATACACGTACTGTACATGTACAGGTAGTGTCAAAGATGGAATATGATTTCTGAGGCAAAATGCATGATATTTACAGGCAGTACATGAAAGCACATTCACTCAGGATGGCAGTACACAATTCCTGACTTTATAATTGTCTTGTTTCGTCAGAACACCACTAGAGGGCTTAACAAAGTACCCAGATGACAGCGGTGTTCGGCGCTTGGAGTGGCGTTGAATACAACATTGGATGCACCCGATTAGCATCATGCAGGAATTGTACTACTGTGGAATACTTTATTTTAGCTTGAAATTAATTTTCGCTATTTTCGCTGAAGGAATGATTCAGTGGAAATAAAATCCAGCGAATATACCTTTTTTTGTATATTTTACATTCAACTCGTCAAAAATCAGTGAAAATAAAATCCATACAAAATCAGCGAAAATTAATTCCAGCTAAAATAAAGTATTTTACAGTATCTCCAGATTTGGACCTACAGGCATATAAAATGGTCGCACTCACAGTGCCCCCCCCCCACGTTCAAATCATGAAATGGTTATGCAAATGAGCAGCCATTAGGAACTGGAAAGTCCCCAATATGGGCACTGTTCAATAGTTACCTTTTTGTGATTCATGTTTTTGTAGTTTTTCTTGATATTCATAACCAACAGCTGACTTGTCCACTCTATCTTTTTCTACACCATACTTTCCACCAAACCCTTTGGCATAGTCTTGTTGTGACACGTGTTTCTGTAGCTTTGCTTGGTATTCCATTCCCACAGCAGACTGAATAATATAAGCAAACACAAATAAAGCATAAGACTTTTATATGACTGATTCCGCTCTCTCAAATTAATGTCAACAACAGGACCATACATATAACACAAACTGTTTTATTACAAACCCAAAGTGCATACAGTGAAAGGTATAAAGTTTGGGACACTTAAGGTAGCGAGAAGGTTTTGTGACGTTTTTAAATAAAACAATCTCTATCTGTTGTCTTGTTCAGAACAGTAATTTAGGTTATATATATCAAAAGACTGAGTATAGAGGTGCAAGTTCGCACAAACTGGACAGACATTGTTTACATAATTATCACGTGACATCAAAAATGGCGAACCTTGTAAAAATGACTAAGTACGCGATTGCGAGAGCACACTGCGGAATTTCCTGGTGAAATTTAAGTTATGCATTGTCCGTAATCAAGTCCATTGAAATGCGTCTCCGATAATCAAAAGACCTATTATTCCGATTTCTATGCAGGTTTGTTTTTTTGTCCCCAAATTATTTCATACTTGGCACCTTTAACAGACTATTATTCTGTGACAAAGCATTTTCTTTAAAAACCCAGAC